ACACACACACACACACACACACACACACACACGCACGCACACTCAGGAACACTTTATCTCACAGATCTCAGGTCAGGAGTCTAGGAATATTATAGCAGACTCTCTCACATGCCTCCCCCAGGCTAGTAGGGCTAGATCAAAGGCAGCCTGAATCCTCATCTGGAAGGTCAAATGGGGACCAGTCTCCTTGCAAGCCACTCAGGTTGTTGGCAGAACTTATTTCCTGTGATATGCCTGGAGGCCTGGGAATTTTGCTTAAAACTCCACCCAAACTTACTAGCGATTATCACAATGACTCACCGCAGAGGTTTCTCTAAAGGAGCCACGTACTTTGTGAACCTGACAAGGAGAGCTTAGCTTCTGTTTGCTAACGCAGATTGACTTGATGTTACTTGGGTATCTAACCCAGGGCCTTGCATGCTGGGCAACCCCTCCATCACGGAGCTGCTTCACCGGCCCTGAGGTGGAGCCTTTGTGTGTGCGGGAGTGAACGTGCACACGGGAAGGCTGGAGTGCAGGCCTGTGCAGGCGTGGAGGCCTCGAGAAAGTTATCAGATTCCCTCAGAGCTCAAGTCCACAGGCACACGCAGGGTGCCTAAGTTGGTGCCTAAGTTGGTGCCCGGATCCGAACCGGGGCACTCGTGATTGTTCAGCAGGCACTCTTCACCACTGAGCCATCTCCCTGAGGCCCCGACAGAGCTTGTATCCCTGTTTACATGTGTGACAGCAGCAGTATGTCAATGCCTTTGCTCTGGTCTTTGACTGGAAGCAGGCCGTGGGTGCTGCCTGCAATCGGAGGGGTGGGGAGCCTGCGAGTATCGGAAAGGCAGGGTCGCTGGTGGTCGTCACAGGGCTTGTCCGTCAAGCTGAGGTTACTGTAAAGCACAAGGAAAAGAGACCTGGCGACTAACGAAGATCGAGAGACTGAGAAAGGAAACTGAATACACGGGGAGGGGGGGGGTGTTGTCACGCCCTCCTTCACCTGGGATGCTGAGGGAGGAGGGTTATGAGGTTGAGACCAGCCTGGGCTGCACAGCACGACTCTGTCTACAGACAAGCAAAAGGATACACCAGAAAAGGGGTTAGACGCCAACTGTAGCCTGGAGAACCACTAATTGGCCAGGGTTGGCCGTGTGCTCCCGTTAGGTGGCACTGGAGACGTGGGGCTGGAATGCAAGTTTCGCTTTCTTTGTATGTTATGTAAATATGTTTTAAATTTGTTTTAATCGAGAAAGTATGGGTTTTAGTTGGGCTATAGTTTATCCACACCTGTTAACTGGCACGTGTGGAACGTGGCTTTTGCCAGCTGGTAAAGGCCGGCCTTCCATGTGCTGCATGGAGGGAGCATGGTCTAGGGCTCTGAGGTACAAATATGAGAGCAAGAAAGAGGGGTGTATGTGGTGCGTTTGGTGGTGGTGTTTGGTGGTGGCGTGGGGCAGTTTGCAGAGACAGACGGAGAGAAATGCTTCTTCGGTGCACAGCGGCGTGGAGGAGCCTGCTGGCTGTCTCTGTGGTTGATGGAGATTGGTACAGAGCCCTCAAAGAGCCCCTTGACCCTAACTAGTCGGGAGAAGTAAAGGGGTCTGGGCCCCTTCTCCCCACTAACCTGTTCTCTCTCCTACTTAAAGGAAGGGAGGCAGAGGCCAGAAACACCCCATAAAGTAGAGATTGTAAAAAGACCACTAAGGTGGCATTCCGCTACAGGAGGCAGGATGATTGGGAGTTCAAGATACACCACAGGTTTGACAGCAGCACCTGCCACATGAGACCTGCTCTATTAACAATCACTGATAGAGCCAGACATGACAGTCAGGGTATCACCCCAACACCAGGGGGCAGAGGCATACTGATCTCTGTGCGTTTCCAGCCAGCTACATAGCAGGCTCTGGGGCAGGGCAAACAGTACCAGATAATGAGTAACTGGCCTGAAACTCACAAAGATTTGCCTGCCTTTGTGTCCTAATGTTGGGATTAAAGGCATAGGCCACACATTGACCCGGCTATGAGACCCAATTTTTTTTTTCTGTCCTGGACTCACTTGGTTGACCAGGCTGGCCTCAAATTCACAGAGATCCACCTGCCTCTGCCTCCCAAGCGCTGGGATTAAAGGCGTGCGCCACCACAGCCTGGCTCCTATGAGACCTAATCTCATCCCACCACCCACACCACCAAAAAAACATGGTGACACACAGCTTTCATTGTGTCACTTTGGAGGTTGAAGCATGATGATCAGGAGTTTAAGGCTATCCTTGGCTACGTATCAAATATGAGGCCAGGTCTGCTTCAATATGCAAGAAATTTTAAATGGATGAGGTCCATCAGCCCCAAACAGAATCACCGAGGCGCCCATGTGCCAAAGGCTGCCAAGCCACACTCTTGGTGAGGGAGACGCTGACTATCTTCATCCTGGAGTGAACCACGCTTTGGTCTCCTCCTTCTGCAGCCCACATTCACCAGTCGCCAAACTAGACTTGTGGGTCCTACCTTTATCGGGTTTTTTTGCAGTCCTAATCTTCTTGGTCCTTGTCACTTTCCTCAAACCCCAGCCGTTATGCTTGGCACTCAGTTCCCCTCCTGTCTGTATCACATCTGTTTGCAGACAGCCTTTCTGCTCATCTCTTTTTTTTTTTTTTTTTCAAGACAGGGTTACTCTGTGTAGCCTTGGCTGTCCTGGACTCACTTTATAGATGAGGCTGGCCTCAAACTCACAGAGATCTGCCTGCCTCTGTCTCCCCGAGTGCTGGGATCACAGGTGGGCACCACTGTGCCCAGCTTCTGCTCATCTTTTTAATAATGAATTTAAGCTGGGTGGTGGCACACACTTTTAATCCCAATACTTGAGAGGCAGAGGCAGGCAGATCTCAGAGTTTGAGGCCAGCCTGCTTTACAGAGTGTGTTCCAGGACAGCCAGGACTACAGAGAACCCTGTCTCTCAGAAAACAGGGATTTATTTTTAATTATGCGTATGTGCATGTGTCTTCCTGTGGGTGTGTGTACATGAGTGGAGTTAAAGTTACAGGCAGTTGTGAGTGGGCAGTGTGGGTGCTGGGAACCGAACTCAGGTCCTCTGCAGAACAGTGAGTGCTTTTTTTTTTATTTTTATTTTTTTAGTAAGTGTTCTTAAACACTGAACCATCTCTCCGTTTTGCTCGCCTAAAAACATGTGAGGCTGGGGATGTAGTTCAATGGTAGAACCTAACATTCATGAGACCCTGGGAAGAGAGGAAGGAGAGAGGATGGGTGTGTCTCCTGTTCATGTCCAACTCTCTCATCCTGTCCTATCTGCATCTCTTTTCATTGAGGTTGCTCAATTCTCAGTCAGTTAATAAAAATGGTTAGCCTAGGGGCACTGTGTGTGTGTGTGTGTGTGTGTGTGTGTGTGTGTGTTGCATACACCTTCAATCCCAACATTAGAGAAGGCAGGCAGATCTCTGAGTTCAAGGCCAGCCTAGTGTACAGAGCAAGTTCCAGGACAGCAGGGCTACACAGAGTCACCGAGTTTGGAAAAACATGAAGTAACTGAGTGTAGTCCTTGCTTCTTGGAAGGCTGAGGCAGGAGGATCACTTGAGCGCTGAGTAAATGCTAGCCTGGTCAAAATAGCCAGAAAGAAACAAGGACACAGAAAAGCCGTAACTCAGCCTTGCACAGTTGCCAGCACTCTGCTGAGAGGAAGGGCTTCCTTTGTAGCTGCAATGAACTGCTCAATGCCAGGGCGTGTGTGAGTCCTCCCTGGAGCACTGCGAAACAGTGACATCAAATGCTAAACCAAGGTAGAGTGGTTTAAAAAAACCACAGGCCAGTCGTGGTGGCACATGTCTGTGATCCCAGCACTCAGGGAGGCAAAGGCAAGGGGATCACTGCGAGTTCAAGGCCAGCCTGGTCTACAAAGTGAGTCCAGGACAGCCAAGGCTACACAGAGAAACATGTCTCGGAAAACACCAACCCAACTAGCCAAACAAACAAACAAACACCACAACAGAAGCAGTGTTCTTCACACTCTACAGGTAAAACATATAGTTAATATAGGTAAGGCCCTAAATTCAATTCCCAGCACCGAAGGGGGGGAATAGAGTGGCTAAGAGTACTGGCTGTTCTCCCAAGGACCCATGTTCCATTCCCAGCACCATATAAATGGCTCACAACCATCTGTAACTTCTTCAGTTCCGGGAGATCAGATGCCCTCTTCTGGCCTCCACGCGCCTTTAACCGTAGCACCTGAGAGACAGAAGCAGGAGGCTCTCTGTGAGTTGGTGGACAGCCTGGGCTACACTGTGAGACCGTCTCAGGGAAAAAAAAAAAAGTTAATTTTGAACAAAAAAATTTGCATGCTATGAAGAGACAGTGCTGTGCGTGTGTTATATGTTCACAATTATAACTCTATCATTACTCTAATATTTACAGATAATTACATACACAGTAACAAACGGAGGAAACGGACAGCGCTGACAGCGCTCCCGTCTATAACCGGTCACAAGGCGATAGTTGACATTTACAGCTCTTTTTTTCTCTGCTACTCATTCGGTATTCCCTCTGCTCTGCCAGGATCTCGGCTGTCGAGTTCTCTCCCTGATAGGGAAATCCACATCTCTTTTCTGAGGGCTTTGAACCTTCAAGGGGAGCGGACCCCTGTCCTTGGGTGGCGCCTCCGAGTGGAGCTGGCCTCGTGTGGTGCCAGCCATCTGTAACTGGGCTGCAGACAGAAGGGCTCCTCAGGAGGAGGCGGCGTGCTGCCGGGACTGCGGGCGAATGAAAATCACCTGCCCGTCAGGTTACCGTGCCTTTGCCTGCCGCACACCTGGTTTCAGTTTTATCCCTTTGCATTCAGTTATTTTGTGGGCACACATGCAGCAAGCGCATGCGTGGGGGTCAGAGGGCAACTGGAGGGGTCAGGTGATGAGTCCCACGGATCAGCCGTGCTGGCAAGCAATTTCCTGGAGCGCATGTCTAGGTCACATGACTACTTGGTATGCTGTGGATGGGCTCTCAGCTGCCACCAAGGTACAGAAGAAAGGGTGGAGAGAGAAATTATCTCCAGAGGAGAGCACGGATTTGCTCCAGAACCTGAGAGTCGTGTGTGGCGACTCCATGCAGCACGTCTGCTTGACATGAAGCCCTTAAACAGCATTGAATTTGCTGGCTGCTTAGTTCGAGAGCAGCTTAGGTTGCAGTCTGGGTTTGGGGCCCCAGATTCTTCTCTGAAGTAGGAGACATCACATTTTTTGGTGGTGTTTATTTCTAATGCTTTATTTTGTATCTAAAACATCTGTTGTTTTTTTTCCACTTTGTCAGACTCGGCAGAATGTCGCCCGAGTAGTGATGTGTGAAAGATCCAGGTTTCTGTGGATGAGGGGTCAGGGCTATAGCTCACAGGTAGACTGCCTGCCCAGCGAGCCCACGGACTTGGGTTCAGTCCTCAGGACTAAGGAAGACAAAATAGAAGGGACAGATGTCGTGGTACAAGCCTGTAATCCTAGCACTCAGGAGGCTGAGGCAGGAGCCTCTGGTTTGAGAATTTGCCGCATAAAGAAAGAAAATACTAAGCCAGGTGCAGTGGTGCACACCTTTAATCCCAGGACTCAGGAGGCAGAGGCAGGTGCCAATCTCCGTCAGCCGCGGGTACAGCCAGCAGGCTCCTCCACGCCGCTGCGCCCCGAAGGGTTTCTCTTCCTCTGTCTGCTCCAAACTGCTACACCGCCTCGGGGGTCTCTCCAAACGGCTCCACATCAATAGGCCACACGGAACGCCCCATCCGCTCGCGCTCTGCCTGGTATTTATACTTTGAGCCCTAGACCACGCCCCTCCAGCAGCACGTGGAAGGCGGTTACCAGCTGACAAAAGCCACGCTCCGCACGTGACGATTACCAGGTGTGGACAAACTACAGCCCGACCAAAACCCCACACTTGGGATAGAAACAAATTTAACACATATTTACATAACATACAAAGAAACCAAAACTTCCACCACACATACACACATAAATAAATCCAATTACAGTTTTTTTTTTCTTTTTCAGTTTTTCAAAACAGGGTTTCTCTGTGTAGCCTTAGCTGTCCTGGACTTGCTTTGTAGACCAGGCTGGCCCTGAACGCACAGAGATCCTCCTGCCTCTGCCTTCCCAGTGCTGGGATGACAGGTGTGCACACTGGACCCAGCTCAATTACACATTCTTTCCTGCTTTCTCTTACAGATTTTAATATTTTATGTGTATGAGTGTCTTGCCTACATGTATGTATATATCATATGTATGTCTGGTGTCCATGGAGGTCAGAAGAGGGCATCGGATTCCCAGGAACTGGAGTTCAGATGATTTTAAGCCAGCCTGCGGGTGCCCCTAACCACTGAGCCA